CTTAGGAGAGCCTCTCCTAAGAGTGTCTAGGGTCTTGGTTGGGAGATCCGGATGTTTGATCCCGAATATGGCCACACCCGGCAAAGTGTAAGGCGGTAAAAATCCTCGGATGTCACTGGATGTCTTGCTAAATGAGGTCCATCATAAGTGTGGGCCTGTGCTGCAGAAGGACAGTCAACAGTCTTGTTGTAGTGGTCCATGCACGCAAATACTAGGACGCCACCATTTTTGCCACCATACACACCAGTATTGCAATGTGGATTGTATGTGTCCATTGTATGTTTGGTCAATAGGAATATGATTGACTGAATTGGTGATAGTGGTCATCGCTTATTTTAGCATGTCGATCTAATTATAAGACCAGCCAAGAGTGTGCATTATATGAGCTTACAAGCTAATTAGCTGTGATTAAGCTTGAATGTGCTTGTCAGGAGTATCAATGGAGGCAAAGCAGCATGCACATATGTGTATGACCACCCCTGGCCGGTAATATGTTGGCCAACCTCAGGACTGATTGCCTGATGTTTTCACAATGAGAACTATTATATAACAATGGATGACAACCAAAGGCACCCATTTAGTGAAGACCTGTGCTGCCAGCATTCACGCCTTCTCCTGTACTCATCTACAAGCTCTCGTAACAGGCCAAGAGATAGGTACTTATTGCTTATTCCTTGCATGTGTGATGCCATCATTAGAGACCTTAAGGTTGAAATGGCAAATGATGCTTCCCGAGATACCAAGATACTGTAGGTTGCTAATGTTTACATTTTTACTAGTATCCTTAAGCGGAATTTACGATGTGGGAAGCATGTAAGGCGAGTCGCCTATAGGCCCATACATATGTCCATAGTCCTGGGCAACAGAGGGGTTTACCCTGGGGCCGTGTTACCCCTCCTGCTGGATAAGAACTTACAAGGGGGTTACCAAAGGTCTACCGGGGGTTGAAGGTGGGTAACCCATTGGTAACCCATGGGTTACTGAACCAATCAGTGCATTAGGGCTTCCAGGATTTGTACAGCCTAGAATATGATTTTGGGCTTCTCCTATCAATGAGCAGAGACAACTTTGACTGCCTCAATTGACCGAGCTCAAAGTCACATCAACGCCTCTCGGGCTAAGTTTCATTTCAAAAGGTACTGTGTATTACATAATTGAATTCTGAGATGACAGCATATGATAACTTGAACACCCAGCTTGTGTTACCATTTGCCCGCTTGTGTTACCATTGGCAATCCAAACAGGCATGCATCTGCAAACTTAGCTGCTTGTGGAAGCTCAGCACATTCCTAGACATTTCGTCATTTCACTGCGCTGCTTTGGGCCTGCGACTGGGCTCCCAACGAGCACCTCTGTTTTGCCTGTTTGGGTTTGCAATAAATGCAGTGCAGCAGTGGGACGACTGACGCAACCATCAGGGCGCGGCTTGTACTCTTCCAAGTATGCCGCCCACCTGGTGGTGGAGCCCCCCAACTATCCGCGTACAAGGAGGCGGCCACGGTGGTTGGGCCGCACCACGTGGCAATGTTCGCGCACGGCAGGCATGGAAAATGGACACTTGGGCAACAGATGCAGGTGTGCATGGCATCATAAGAGTAGGAGCTCCACATGAGGCAGTTTGCCGATTTTCGTGAATGGAGTCTGACTTGAGCTGCTGCCTTATGAATGGTATTTGACTTGGGCTGTTGCTGGTGCAACTGCGCATGTGTATCAACATAGCAACACCCCGGCATTCATATTATAGCACTGCTGCCGCGGAGTGCTGCTGTTCTTAGCGTGACCAATCATGCAGGCAGGCATGCCTCTTGTGCTGTGCATGGCTCTGGCCCTCTTACCACCTCGCCTTGCACAATGCTTGTAAGCTTCATGCAACAATGCTCTGCTCGCAGATTGCCGTGCACTGCCCCGACGCGGACCGCAGGGTGTTGGTGGACTCAACGGTGGTGCGCATCAATCCCATCCAAGACGTTGCCATCCTCGAGGTGTGCCAGTGTGCGGGTCGGTTAAGCCTACAGTAGCGGCAATTGAGCTTACTTCTGCACATGTAGCACCCTTGCACCTTTCCTCCCCAAGCCCTTTCCTTGCCTAGATTCCCACAAGTCAAGGTCCATGCAAGCTCAAGCTGGAGCATTAAAGCACTCACAATTCACAACATAGTCAACCGCCTGTGATGTTACTTCACTGGTATTGACCTTCAGGTGCAGCGCAAGCTGGTGCCCCCGGTGCTGGACTGTGGTGTCTCGGCTGGCGACAAGTACTACGTCCACGGCCAGTCCACGCAGGCACAAGCGGACGCCACATCCATCAGCCACGGCATGGTGGCGGCGACCGAGCTGGATGCGCACAGCCACATCCGCGGTGATATTGTTGCGGGTGCCGGTGATTCAGGTGGCGGCTGCTTCTCGGTCGACACCGGCAAGCTTGTGGCCATGGTGGTCGGGTCTGACACTCGTACAAACAAAGCCATCCTGGTGCCCAGTGCAGTCATATGCAGCATCCTGTCGGACCTGTCGGCGACCTTGGGGGCTGCAGGAGCAGCCACCTGAGCATACAGTGTCCAGCTGACAATGTACCCGGTGTGGTGATGGGTGGCCAGAGCAAGCTAGCCTGTCGCCAGGATGGGAGGCAGGGCTGCTGTGTGTGTCTGTTGACCTGACCGCGGCATACTCTGGTCGCCTGGCTGGTTGTGTGGGTGGGTAGGTTCAACTGAGAGTGCGTGCAGCGGAGTGGCAGGTTGGGCTCAGGAGTGGCGGTGCCCAGTTGTGGTGGAGGCGGCATCCAGCAGTGGCTGCTGGTGGTGCTGACTGACATGCTATTTCGTGGTGGAGTAGGCGTAAGGGTAGGGAAACCCACAACGAGGGCATGCAGCTGCTGTTGACTGGTGCTGTAAACACTAAGAGTATGGGAAAAAGCATTTCATAATGTCCGAGGATGGGCTACAATGCGACACCTTCATTCCGACCCATTTAGACCCATTTAGCCTAGCCAACACCGCCCCCTGTTACTGACATGTATGGGTGGCCTGTGGCCTTCCGGGGCACGCCAACCATGTCCCATCAAATCTGGTTCGGAGTCTTAGTGGGGATTCAGTTAATCAGTGGTTGTACGATTGTGGATTGAGACTGGTGGGCCAAACGGGAGGTAGGCGTGACTACCCTGCTGCTCGAGGTTAGTCGCTTTCAGGCAACCCTGGCACGCTTATGGCATGGGGTGCGCTGGGAGAATGAGAACAAGGAGACCATGTGGCGTCTCGCCGTGAATGGCGTGCCCCTACCTGGCTTGTTTGGTGGGCTCGTTACACCTCTCTGAGTAATGCAACCGAGATGCAACAGACACACACACACATGTATACACATACATCTCCTTCCAGGCCAACAAGCAAGCATTACGTCATCTCTTCACCTGTCCCACACGTACCCTCACTTCCAGGTGAACCCCGGCCTGGATGATATATATTTGAAACAAGAACTGTGCATGTGCCTATGTTGATCGCCTACCAGGCCTACTTAGTCAAGTAGGTAGACAGCCAGCTATCTAGCTAGTCAAACCAGCCACTTGGCCGACTGCATTCAACACGCACACTGTTACATGAGATGAGCAGGGATACAATGTGCATGTGTGTGATGCTGAGTCCCTGTATGGAGCAGGAACATTAGCCAGCAACTGCAACTTACCGGAGATCATGCTGAGGTAGCGGACCCTGTTCAGCAAGCCCTGGTGCTGCAAGCCGTGCAGACAGCCTAGGCCCAGGGTAGTGGCTATCGGAGCCTTATCACCCAGCCCCGGCAAGGTGAAGTCCGGGTCGTCAAGCTCTGGAAAGCAGATGGTGCCATCCAGGCGAGCAGGCCAGGCCTTGACAGACGTAGTATGAGGGTGAGAGAATATGCCGAGCAATGACCTCGCCTCAGCTGCGACACCGGCCACAACAGCGGAGGCAACATTTTTCTGATCCCCGTAAGCTTCAGTGGGAACCCTGTCTAATCCATCAAAAGCCTTGGACAAGCCCGCAGAAGTGTCATCGACAACGGCGGTAATGGCACTTGTTTCGGTGCCTGAAGCGGTGCTGGCCTTGAGTATTGTCGGTTTGTCCTCCGTAAGGGGGGTGGCAGCCGTGGCAATGCGGCATCCGCTGCCATCCACAGCTGCGCCAGTGGGATTATCGACGGCATCCATGGTGACTACTTGTGCTCTTCCAAGCTTTAAACACAACACTTTACGCGCAGTTGTGGCTGGTCAAGCTCCTTGTAAGTCTCAGACCGGCGGCAAATGAAGGCATTTTAAAGTGAGAGGCTGTTTTGGTTTCACTTCCAAAGCTCCACGCGGTAAAATTCGCGCCTGTCTTTTTGGGCGTCTTGTACTCCCTGGAATGAAACTAGTAATTCTTATAACATAAACCACAGTGTAATCTAATATATACATACATGTGCCCTGACAGGGGGCTGATGATGTGCTTACAGGCCGTGGTCTGCTCTTTGTCCAGCAGATTCATTGGGCTCATTATGTCCTTGACACTTCGTTACCTTACCTGTCAGGTACTCGCCGACGGGGTGTCGCCAGACACCGCCCCTGCAGTGCACATCGTGCTGTTGACCTCACCCAAGAAAACGACCATGAAGGTAGGCATCTTGGGCCCAGATGGAACTAGAAGGCGTACCGTCATACACTGACCTTGCTTGTGCACCTGGCATGCAGCATCCAGGACTACTCACCCATAAGTTGCCATCTAAAGTTATTTGTCCCTTATGAACTAGGAAGATCAGAATGAAGGACTGTCACCCCTCCCTCCCTCGGGCTGCAGGAGATGAGGAAGGCAGTAGCTGTGACTTGGTACATGCCTTTCTGGGAGCTTAAGGAGCTGCTTGACTGCCGCAGGTGCTGGGTGTGGGACGGGTGGTGTGGGAGCTAGGCCCTTAACTAAACTGCACTTGTTGCCAATTGTCCCGCGTGTAAACAGTAAAAGTTGTTACTTGCTTTCCCTCGCACCATAAATGTGCCCGCAGCAAGATGTATAGTGCAGTGCCAGAGGCGACTGTGGAGGAACTCTACACTTACTATGGCGGTGTAGCACGGTATGTGCTTGAGCAGCCGTTGAAGAACCCCAACTGGATGTTGTCTAAGCTGCAGGAGCCACTGATCAGCACCATAGATGCAAGCAACGTTTCTCAGGTGAAGCACTGTAGTGTAGCTAGTCCTCTGTCTGAGCCTCATGTCATTTAAGGTCGTTGCCCAGTTTTCGCCTGCATTGCCTGAGTTTTGATGTTGATGATCCTTCTATCCAGTGGAAACTGATTCTGTATGTTTGCATTGCTGCTGAGCTCTTGTGTCCTTCCATGTTCATATTGCTGCAGATATCTCGTTTCTTGGCAAGTTGTACCTGCCTTTCACCTGTAACACACCTATGACCTGGCCTGCCTCCCTGGTTGCTCCCATCACGATAGGTTCGGTTGGCCATTGCGTGATCCATATTGTGGTTGACCACAAGTTCGAGGTGCAGTACCTAAACTTTGCTACCAAATGGGTGGCTGTCGAGTTTGCCAAACGGGCATGGAAATGTGAAAGGGGGGAATTGATATCTCTGCTAAATGGCAGCGAAGGTGTTAAAGGGCTACCTCTTTGAGGCAGTCATGCATGCTGCACTGGCGACTGGCGGCAAGTTCGATGTGTTGCCATTGGACCCGAAGACTCTGGAGCGGGGCAAGGAGGAGAAGCTGGATATCCCGGAATGCAAGCAGTATAACATCTTCACAGACAATGAGGTCCATGGTATGATGAGCACTAAGATGGACACATACTTGAGGCCCAAGTCCTCCAACTTCCCCGTCATTGATGCTCTTATGGTGCTGGCAATGTACCTTTTCCAGATGACTGTGTCGGCTATGAAGGAAAG